GCTGCTGCTGCTGCCCCAGTTGTGCATGCTCCAGCAAGAATGTATCTGCGAGGTGCTCGTACGCAGAAGCCATAGTTAGCCACTCAGCCTCAGCTGTGTACTTGTGGGCAGCAGCAGCAGCAGCAGCAGCAGCACCTGGTGGCGCTGGTCCCGGAGCAGCAGCAGCAGCGGCTGTAGCCGCTGCAGCAGCAGGAGCGAGGGCTGCAGTTTGGGAAGTTTCACTTGCTTTGAGCCCCGAGCAGACCTCTCGTTGCTTCTCCTCCTGCTGCTGCTGCTGATGCTGCAGCAGCACGTGCTGCTGCTGCAGCTGTTCAAACGTGGGCGGCGCACTGCAGCAGCTACGTAGGGCCAGAACAGCACGCAGCAGAAACCGCCGCACGAGGAGCCGCTGTGCTGCAGCATCTTGCTGCTGCAGCAGCGCAGCTGTTGCTGCTGCAGCTGCTGTCTTAGCGGGTGCTCCTGTTGCAGTTCCTGCGGCTGTTTCAGCAGCAGCAGCAGCAGCTGCTGCTGCTGCTGCTGCCACTTCTCTTCTGTGGAGACGCTGCACAGCCCCCTTGCCCTGACACAGTCTGTCTTCTGCTGCTTCTGCTGCTGCCCTTGCTGCTGCTGCTCTTGCGTCAGCAGCATCTGCAGCAGCAGCAGCAGCAGCAACTCGCACTGCAGCACGGTAACACAGCAGCGCCACCGCCAGCCTTGAAGCCCTGCTGGACACAGGAGGAGAAAGTCGTTTTCCCAAAGCCTTTGGGCCCCAATACGGGTTTGCTGCTGCTGCTGCTGCTGCTGCTGCTGCTGCTCCTGGTGGTGCTGCTGGTGGTGCTGCTGCTGGCACCCCAGCTGCCGGTGGCAGGGGCGTTTCTGCTGCTCCAGCAGCAGCACCAGCAGCGGGTGCTGCTGCTGCTCCTGCTGCTGGGGCAGCAACTGCGTCTGTGATGGCCAGGGCAACATTTCTGCTGCCAGCAGCAGCAGCAGCAACGCATGCAAACTTCAAAGAGCCTAGAACAACGTCTAAGGCAAGCTCTATGTCTGCTGCGCCGCAGCAGCAGCTGCTGCTGCCCTTGCTGCTGCAGCTGCTGCACACGGAGGGCCGCAGCACTGCAGCAGCTTCTGATAGTCCATGAGTCGGTCCCACAAATACCCAAAAGGGAGACTTCCCGCTGCTGCTGCTGCTGCTGCTGTTGCTGCTGCGGTAGCCAGCAGCTTCCTTTGGAGTCACCCGCTGCAGCACCGCAATGCTTTTTCTAAGGGGCGGCAGCAAGTCCAGCAGCAGGTACAGCAGTTTCGGCTGCTGCTGCTCTGCTGCTGTTGTTGCTGCTGCTGCTACTGCTTCAATTTTCTGTAGCAACGGCGCAAGCCACACGAGCGGAGATAGCCGCTCTGTCGTCAGCAGAGCTGCTGCTGCTGCTGCTGCTGCTGCTGCTGCTGCAGCCTTGGGTTCCCTTAAAGGGGCTTCTGCTGCTGCTGGCCCTGCTACTGCTGCTGCTGCTGCTGCGGCCTTTGTCTTAGGGGTCAAACATAAAGAAAATGGGGAAGTGCTGCCTTCTTCAGCTGCAGGCAACGGCTGCCACAGGTGCTTTTGCTGCTCCTGTTCTGGCTGCTGCTGCTGCGGTTGATGAGGCAGCAGCAGCAGCTGCTGCTGCAGCTGCTCCAACCAGCAGCAAACGAAAGCATACAGCCGCGGAATGTCAGCAGGCTCGCATAGTCTGACCACGCATGTCGGGCTCTGGTCCTGCAGCAGCAGCAGCAGCAGCAGCAGTGGGTTCAGCAACAGCAACAGCAGCAGCAGCAGCTTGACAAGCAGCAGCAGCAACCCCAATGGCGGGAAGAACACAAGCTGCAAAGGAAGCACAGCAGGCAGCTGTACCACTTGCAGCAGCACGAAGTGGGCCAGCAGCAACAGCAGCAGCAGCAACGGCAACGCAGCAGCAGCAGCGACAGCAGCGACAGCAGCAACAGCAGCAGCAACAACAGCAACAGCAGCAGCAGCAAGCTCCTTACATTCTGTCCCTTTAGGGGGAAGACAAGACACACTGC